AATATGCAGGATTGGAGTGGAAGTTAGGAAACTTTAAAGAAAAAGAAGCATTAACACCAGACGCTCACTTAATATATACAAATTCTAAAGGAGAACCTTCAATTAGATTTACAGATTATAATTATGAAGCTCAAAAAGACTTTGAAGAAGAAAGTACTATAGAAGAAATGCCTTTAGAAGGAATGAATATGGAAATAACATTAGAAGAAGATTATGCAGTAGACATAGCTATAGAAAAAGCAAAAGAAATATGCAAAGAAAATAATAATAGACTTTTTACATGTAAAGGATGTAAATTAAAAGACTTAAATTTAGAACAGACCATATCTCATTTTAAAAAATGTAATCAAAGAAATGATAATAGAGGATATAGATTAGAAAAAGATTTACAAAATAAGTTAGAAAAAAGCAGTAATATAATGACACAAATACAAGACGATGATAGTGAAATATCCGAATTAGAATCTATACTTAGTCAGAAAGAATTAATGGAAACAGCTAGTTCTAGTAGTCCATTTCAAAGAACAAATGAACAAGGACATACTGCAGACAATAGCACAGGAAATATACCACGAAGAAGAGTATATAGACAAGGAGATACTCCAACAATAGAAGTAAAACCTATGGGAAAAAGAATGCCTATAGAAGAACCAATAATACTCCAAGAGGGAGGAAGTAAAGGTAAAATCTTAAATATAGCAGCACATGATCCACAAAGGTGGAATTCAGTAATAGACTTATGGAAAGGAATAGTAGTAGCAGACTTTATAAAAAATTATACAGAAACTGATGCAGAGACAATGTACAAATACTTAGAAACGTTTTTAGGAGAATCAACTAAAGCTTTATGGGAAGCTTATAAAGTAGAATTCCCATCAGAATTTCAGTATTTAGTGTCATTAGGACCAAATCCTTATAACTTTACAAATAAAGTACATACATTAATAACAGGGGAAGATCCAAATAGTGGATTATTAGCTTTACAGCGAAATGCTGTAATAAAATTAGAACAATTAAGTATAAGTAATTGGTATTACATAAAGAAATTTTTAAATGATTACTTCTATTATTGTACAATCAGTGGAAATGCTTTTGATCAAGACTTAGGCAAAAAATTATTTAATAAACTACCAGGAGCCTTAGGAAGAGAAATAGAGGAAAGATGGACTAAAAGAGAGGGAGTAATACAAAACCCTCAAGCTAAATGGTCAATAGGACATAGAATACAACATATAATGGAAATACTACAAGAAAAATGTACTAATCTACAAATACAAAAACAACTAAAACAGAATGAAATGAATTTCTGTAAAGACATAATATATACAACTCAAAGTTATGATAAAGACCAATATAAAAAGAAAAGATATAAAAAATACCATCCACAAAATAATAAGAGATATAATAGGAAAGGATATTTTCTTAGAAAATCCTCAGCAAGGAAACCATATTTAAATAGAGATAGACATGTTAGAAAATACAGAACAGATAGAAATTATAAAAACAAGCTAGAATGTTTTACATGTGGAAGTATAGAACATTTAGCAAATACTTGTCCTAAAAGATATAATGCTAAAACTAGAAATGCACAACTAGTAGAAGAATTTAATGAAGCATTATTAAATGTAGACGAATATATGTCAGACAATGAAAGTATTTACTCTATAGTAAGTATTGATATAGATGAAAATAACAAAGAAGAAGATTCTTCTAATTCAGAAGGAGGAGAATTAATTAATGAAATCGGAATAGAAGACTTGAATATAGATAATCTAAAAATAAATTTTATGAATATAGTAGAATGTGAACATGATTTTGAAAAGGATACTGGATTAGATAGTAATCCATGTAACTGGTGTAAATGGTACCCAAGCAAACATAAAAGAGCTAAATGTAATAAATGTTTTATAGAAGGATGTATAAATTGCATAGAGACTCAATTAGAAATAATAACTCAGAAAAGAAAAGAAATATACACAGATGAACCTCTAGTAAACTTAAAAGTACTAGTACTAGAAGCAAAAATAAAAGAATTAGAAGAAAGAATAGTAAGGTTAGAAAAAGGAAAAAATATACAACAGGAACAACCAGTAGATAATCAAGAATTAATGAATGAAGAATCTAATACTTTAATATGTAATGAAGACAAAAACATAAACACTATCAAAATATTAGCAAAACTTCATATTGGAAAATATGAAATAGAGACTTTAGCATTAATAGACTCAGGATGTACTAAAAGTATTCTAAATAAAAAGATTGTACCCATAGAATTAATAAAAACTTTAGAAAAACCACTCGCAGCCATGCAAATGGATGGAACACATAATATATATAGACATTATATAGATAAAGCTCAAATAAGTTTCTTAAATACTTGTTCAGAATTCTATAAACCCACCTATAAAATGGATAAAATATGGGTAAGAGATCTGGATATAAGGGTAGATTTTGTGTTAGGACTAGATTTTATATTACATAACAAAGGAGGAATTTTAATAACTAGAGACGGAATACTTTTTATGAAAAATACTACTCATACTTCAGTTTTAACTAATAAAATTGAAACTAAATTAAGACAAAAAGAAAAATGTTGTGAAAATTGTAAAAATGATAGAGAATGTAATAAAAATAATTATAATATACTATATGAAAATATACTAGACATAGAAGAAGAAGACGAAATAATTAATAAAAATTATGTTTTAATAGAAATGGAAACAGAACTATATAACTTTAAGACAGGAATACAGAAAATAGGAGAAATAAAAAATCAACAAGACTTAGATAATATAGTAAAAATTTTAGATGAAATAGAAATAATAGGAGAAAAACCCTTAAAATATTGGGAAAATAATCATGAAGTGTGTAAACTAGACATAATAAATCCAGAATATATAATTAAAACTGCGTCAATAGAAGCTACAAATCAAGATCTAGAAGATTTTAAAATACAAATTAAAGAACTATTAGAATTAGGAGTAATAAGAAGATCTACTTCAAAACATAGATCAACAGCATTTATGGTAAGAAATCATAATGAAATAATTAGAGGAAAAGCTAGAATGGTTATAAATTATAAAAGATTAAATGACAACACTAGAACAGACGGATATAAACTACCAGACAAGACAGAATTAATAAATAGAATACAAGGAAAAACATTTTTTAGTAAATTTGATTGTAAATCAGGATATTGGCAAATAAAGATGCATCCAGACAGTATAGAATGGACTGCTTTTAACTGTCCTGAAGGACATTTCGAATGGTTAGTAATGCCATTTGGGTTAAAAACAGCACCTCCAATTTTCCAAAGAAAAATGGATAAAATATTTGGAGAATATAAAAGATTCGTTTTAGTATATGTAGATGATATTTTAGTATTTAGTAAAAATATAAAAGAGCATTTAGGACATTTACAAACAGTCTTTAGGTTATTTGTTAATAACGGAATAATAATTAGTAAAAAGAAAATGGAATTATGTAAAAATTATATAAATTTTTTAGGAATTATTTTAGGAGAAGGAAAGGTTAAATTACAACCTCATATAGCTAAAAAAGCATTAGATATGCCAGACAAATTAAATAGTTTAAAAGAATTACAAAATTTTTTAGTTATAGTTAATTATGCAAGACCTTTTATAAAAGATTTAGGAAAAATAGCAGGACCATTATATTCTAAAACCGGAAATAAAGGACAAAGAAATTTTAATATAGAAGACATAAAATTAGTACAAAAAATAAAAGAAAAAATAAAAAACATTCCTGATTTAAATATGCCACTAGAAACAGATTATTTAATAATAGAAACAGATGGAAGCTTTGAAGGATGGGGTGCAGTACTAAAATCAAAACCACATAAATATAGTATTAAACAAGAAGAAAAGATATGCGCCTATCAAAGTGGAAAATTTAAAGAAAAAGGTAATAAAGCTAGTATAGATGTTGAAATTTTAGCAGTAATATATGGTTTAGATAGTTTTAGAATTTATATTTTAAATAAACCAGAAATATTAGTAAGAACAGATTGTGAAGCAATAGTAAAGTTCCATCAAAAAATTAATGATAAAACTAGCAGTAGAAGAAGATGGTTAAAAATTTTAGATACAATATCTATTTACCCTTCTATAAATTTTGAGCATATTAAAGGAAATGATAATAATATAGCAGATCAATTAAGTAGATTACTAATTAAAGTTTAAATTTTACAGAATGAGACCTCTACTATCAGACAAAGGTAAAAAGGTTCAACCTTCAACCCCAGGTTTGGCAGACTCTTATAAACAGACAGTACTAGCTAATTTACATTTTAAATCATTAGATAAAATAGACGATATTAAAGTAGAAAGAATGCAGTTTGGATTACAAAACCTAATTGCATATGGACCGTCAAACTTAACTTTTAGACATTTACCTAATTGTCAATTAGATAAACAACAGACATGTCTTATAGATAACATATGGATAGCACATAATAAAAAAGATACTAAATACATAATTGCTGTTCTAAATGCTTTAGGATACTATTTTACTAATAAAAATAAAGACAATAAATTTAAATATTATGTAGTAGTTCATGGTAAGACAAATGGTGTTTTCCAAACATGGATAGAAGTTTTAGACTCAATTAAAGATTTTCATAAACCACTTTTCAAAGGTTTTAACGATTTTACAGAAGCTTTAGACTATGCTAGAGGAATTTTAGGACCAAATTATTATATTTCTCCAGCTCTTAGACAAAACCCAGAAAAAATCCCACAATATAACATCCAAAAAGACACAGACAAAATTATATTTTGCGACCATTGCTCATCCATGACTGAAGCATTCAAAAGGCTAAATTTAAAAAATGAAGCCTTAATAGAAGAAAATGCCAAGCTCAGAGAAAAACTTAGCAAACTGGAAAGCAAAGGTAAGAATATACAAACTCAGACAGATACGCAGGGTTTTCCATCCCAAACAAAAATGGATGAGATGGGTGTGCATTCCCCACTGAATGCTAGGAAATCCACTGTATCGGATAATGATACAGCTAGTCCGGTTCAAACGGTGGCCGGTAAAGACTTCTCAAACCCGTTAATGGCTGTCACTTTGCCAAAAAGTGAGAAAGACGAAAGCTCATCTTCAAGAAGAAAATTACCACTCTCATTTAACCAAACAATCAGACGAAAAGTTAAAAAAGCCCAAAAAAATAAAGAGTTAGAATTCCTAATAACCCAGACTGTAGAAAAACTACTCAAACAAAAACAAGAAAAAGACAAACATATAAACCCAAGCCCAATACAAAGCCCAAGACAAATTTCTATTCCTAGCCCAAATAATTCGGATAATTTTGAAGACTCAATACAATTTGCCCAAGACCCAAATGATGATGACTCAGGAGCAAGTTTTGATTCAATTGCATTGCATAATCTAGACACATAAAAAAAAAATATATATATATATATATATATATAATAATAAATATTTTAAATATTATCTTATTATATTATTACACTTAAGAGAGGAATGCCTCTTTAGTCAAAAAATGTGAGTCCCACTTTACTCACTACCACACATGTGGAAAAACTGTTGGGACGCGTCGTATTCAAGAAAAAAGATAAGATAAAGGATGTTGAATCAGATTCCAGAAACAATAATGCAAGAAGAAGGGGCAATAACTTCACGATGGGGCCCAAATGCGTACCCGGCTGAAGTGATAAGATTCCCTTTTCCATTTGAAATCCGGAGTTTGAAGTCCGAAGACACCTATAAAAGCAGACGTTATCAAGACAAGAAGGAGCAGAAGAGAAAAAAGAAAAGAAAGAAAAGACCCACTACAAACACTCTCAAAAAATTCCCAAAACTACCTTTTTCATAAAACTATCCTTTAGACATTGTAAAAAGATTTTCAGATTTTGGTTCTTTAAGTATTTTTTTTTTGTTTAAAGAAAGCTTGGAAGTTTTCGGGTTTCCCGAAAGGGAAACTTCACTCTGTTCTTATAATGTAAGTTTCATATTTATGTTTCTAGTACAACTTCCCATATATGTAAATTATGTGTGTTAAATTCATGTAAATACATGAGTTTATTTTAAATTTTGTTAAGTATATATTATCATGAATCTATTTTACCTAGTATATGGTTAGTCTCTTAGCCTCTTAAAATTATTGATGGATTAACTTGTAAATTCCTAGGAAATTGTGGGGTCAGTTCGAAAGTTCATGGATGAACTATGAATGACCAAATCCGGGGTGGAGTTAAAGAAAATTAATTTTAAGAACAAAAGCTAAGAGAAAGAGATGAACAGTAAAAATAGATTCATGAATGGACAGAGTCCATAATTTAAAAAAAAAAAAAAAAAAATTAAAACTAGAGGAAGTTACTAGAACTTAATATGAGAATTACAAAATAGAACAAGAAAGAGTGAAGGAGTACTGAGTAGGACTCTTTACAACATTTAGAAAAAACCACTTATAATTTTATTGAAATAAATAAAAAATCTCTAGAAAGCCATATATATACCTTAAAGCTAAGACTAGTACCGTCTGTTTATAAGAGTCTGCCAAACCTAGGGGTTGAAGGTTGAACTATATATATATATATATATATATATATACACACACGAAAGAACACTAAAGCTAAGCATCTTCAAGACTTCTAAAGAGGTGAACGTAGAGAAGTTTAGACTCAGAGCTGTAGAGAAGAACACTTAATTAAACCTCAAGTTAAAGCAAATATAGGTAGCTAAAACATTCTACGACTCATCAAGAAGGCAAACTTTACTAGAAACAAATCAGGTGATTACTTTAAATCGATCAGGCGAGAATAGAGACACAAACAAAGAGATAGAGCGACAATATACTAAGCCAGCATACTCAAAAACAATAAATTAAATACCAGCTTAAGCATATCAACTCAGCTTCAGTCTACTTACAAAACCGAAAAAAGAAAAAGCTCAAGAGTAAAGATTTCACCTCTTTTGGTGCAGCGATACCGAACAAGACGAGCGAAGAACGTGCAACGAATTCCACGCCACAAAACTTGAACATGAACTACCGACCAGAAAACAAAGCAGAGTCTCGAAGAAACTTGGGTAAAACAATGGTAAACGAGATGATATAGGGACTCTCAGATCGAAACCAAGTAACTCTTCCTTTCCTAGAATGTGTTTCGTGTGTACTTCTTTAGCTTCTTCACTATGCTAATTTCTAAAGAAAAATTCAACTTTCTCTTCTCGCCTTTTTTTCCAACAGAAGAATCTCTCCCCCTCAAAATGACAAAACAGATATTATATAGGGAAATATTAGGGTTAGTAAAATGGGGGGAAAACCTAGGGAAATTTCGGATAAGGACCAAGACATTTCAAAATCTCAAATTTTGAAATCATCCCCAAAATCGAAAGAGATCTGGAACCGATACTAAAAATTCCAGAATTTGCAACGGGGGAGTCATGGGAGCCGCTCGATTAGGCGCCATTACGAGAGAAACGCGGAGATGAAGACATTTGGCTGCCAAGGACGAAATAAAGCTGTTGATCATACAAACCATACAGGTTGAGGGAGACAACGCGAGGCGTGAACTCGCCACTTTCGCATCTGCCTTCGCGTGGAGGAGACGGGGTGCGTACGGGGGCTGCTCGCGCGTTTTGTCTCTTCTGGGTTTTCTTCTCAAGCGTTGGAAAAATTCACGCGTTGGGATGAATTTCTGGGTTCTTGATTAAACGGGGCGAGTATGGGTTGATTTGGGACGAGAAAAGGGTCGGGTCGGTGTTTTCTTTTCTTTTCTTTTTTTTTTCTTTTTTTGTTTTGCGTTGAGGTGTTGGGCTGGGAAAATTTCTGGAAATTATTGAGCTGATTTTGGTTGAGAAGCAACAAAGGAACGGGCTGGCCGGGAACTTTGTTAATAAATGGCCCACTTTGGGTCTTAAGAAAATAGGCTAAAATATTTCTTGCCAAAAATAAGATGAAAATAACTTAAATACACAACTATAAGTTTTGTATTCTCTATTTTTCCTTTCTTTTTTTAAATATTATGTTATTCTTTTTTTTTTAATTTTAGTAGAAGTGTATAGATACGTAATATTCTCTCTCCTATAATACACAATTCCCCAATATAATACCTATCTTTTCTCCACTAAAACACTCAATCTTCTAAATCAAAGATTTTGAATTATTAATTTTAATTAAAACACTCAATTTTGAAATTTGAATTTCAAAATTCAAAGAATTTCAAATTTCAAAGAACTGGACAATCGCTCTCCCGTTCTTATTGTTCTTTTACTCCATCATCGTCTTCAGTTCTTCTTACACCATCATCGTCTTTAGTTATTCTTCTTAACCTAACATCTGTTATTGGTTTCTTCTTTTTTTATTCTTGTTCATTGATTTGTTACATCAGTCGTATTTAGTTCTTCCTTTTCTTTTTACTCCATCATTAGTTTTTCCTTTCTTCCTTTTTTGTTTTGGTTAATTGTTTTATTACATCATAGTAATGAATCCTTTAATTAATAGAAAGATTTATGATTCTGACGATGAAAATTGGAAAGAAAATAGAAAAAAGTCTTTGCATGATCCTATGAATCTTCAGAAGGATTCAAACAAAGATTCTGGCGAAACATCAAAATCAAAGGTTGTCAAAATACAACAAAAAAAAAAGAAAAAAGAAGCAGCAACCATTGTTGTCAGGCCTACATTGTTTCGAGTTTGTATTTTTTATACTTATTTTTAAATTGTTGTTGAAATTAGTAAAAATCTTAAGGAATCCAATATGTATCAAAAAATTATGAAAATTATTATCATGTATCAGACAATAGGTTTAATACATAAGTACTAAGTGGATTAGAATGTTTCGTCTATGCTTTGATACATGAATTAGATGTGTATCATATGATTTCCTAAGTATCAAGGTTTTTGAAAATTTTTATCATGTATCAATGAATAATTTCAATAATTGTGTCATCAACTGTGCTTGCTGATACATTTTGAATCAGTGTGTATAGTGTTTTAGATGATGCATTGATACATGAATTTGTAGTGTATCATATTATTTTCTATGTATCATGAGGTTTTGAAAATTGTTATACTGTATCATTCAATAAGTTTTTAATTTATGCTGTATTTTTTTTGTAGAGACATCGCTAAACAGGACTGCGATAGCCTGTAAGTATCAAAAAAAATTCGTTTGTCCTTTTTAATATATCATTAAGTTTTTAATTTATGTTGTATTATTTTGTAGAGACTGTGGGTTATATGTTACTACATTTGCCGAGTATATGAGTGACCAAATCAATATATCATATGCTGATTTTAGTCATGATTACCTACGTCAAAGATATGGAGCATTGCTGTGGAGTTATGGAAGCGAGAAGGCTAAGTGCGGATATGTTAGTGACAATGATTATCCACCAAAATCTAGGGGCGTAGTCACACCACAACCAGAAGAAGATTTAGTTCACATAGTTAATGTTGATTAATGATCTGTTACCGTAAATTAAGCTGTTTTAGTTAACAAGTTTAAATGTTCCATTTTTCCCCATTTTTTTTTCTTAACAAGTTGACCAGAACATTCATTTGTTGCTTTATAAAAAACATTTAAAAAATCAATCAGTTCTTTTGTATTTTGCCAATCTTCAAAGCTAATTCTTAAACTCGGATCAACATTATGAGCATTAAAAACTAATTGTAGCGGTTCTTGATAAACATAAGCAACTTGAAGCATTTCAAATAAAGAATTCCATCTAGTGCATATTTCTTTTGGAATTTTTCTGTATGCAAGTCCACATTCATTACAACGATTTTTAAATTCAGTAATTCTAGCTTTTACTTTAGCTTTAAAAATCCAATTACAAGCAAGTCTAATTTTTTCACAAGAAACTCCAAATTGAGAAATACCATCTTTTACTATTAAATTATAAATATGTGCGACACACTTAATATGAAAACAACCATTATCAATTGGACAAAGTCTAGTTTTTAAATAATCAACGGCTCTTAAATTATTAGAAGCATTATCTAAAGTGATACTCATTATTTTATCACATATTCCATAATATTGTAAAATAGAGCCTACTTTTGATGCTATGTAAGAACCGGTTTTAGTTTCTTCAACATATTTATACACTAATATTCGTTTTTGCATGTTCCATTCATGGTCCATCCAATGGACAGTAAGTATAAAATAATCGTTATCATTAGGACTACGTCTCATGTCTGAAGTAATAGATAATATACCATCATAATAAGCAAATAAACAACAAAGAAAATGAGAATATTCTTTTTGATATTTAAAAATATCACTTTTAATTGTATTTCTTGGAATACCTTCATAATCTGGGTTATATAATTCTCGAATATAATGAACAAAACCAGGATGAGAAGGAAATGAAAAAGGTAAACCACAAACACCAACCATTTTAGCTAATTCTCTACGATCTTTTTCTTTACTATACGTGCGGTGTGTGCTTCGACTAGCCGAATTAGATATATTTAATACACTTTGAACCATATTAGAACCTCCAACAACCATAGAACTTTCGGTATGGGTGTTCCATTTCTATTAGCTCTTTCTATATCATCTAGGCGAGCAAATTCTTTATTACACTTTCGTAAATGTGTTCTTAGTCGTCCCGTTCCCCCTTGTGTACCAGTAGTTACATGTTTCATTACCAATTTACATTTAGTGCATGTAACAGTAGTTTTCTCCTCATTTTGTATCAAAAATTTCCATACTCACGATCTTTTAACACGTACGACAGCGACATTTGAAAAAGTAGGTAAAGAGGGGACTTCGGTAACCGGACTAGTCGGGGTAGGAGTCTCTTCATCTTCCTCATTTATTTCTACTTCTTCTTCTAATTCTTCTTCAAAATTAGTATAATGTCTATTTAAAGACTCATGATCTACTTCATTTTCACAATTAAATTCAATAGGTCTTGGTGACGTAAAAAAAGTTTCATTAACACAAGTATAATCATTAGTATTAACTAAATATCTAGGTGGCAAATTTTTAGAACAAGAACTACTTACTCCTCCCATTTTATTTTTTAATTCCGACATTGGTCTTTTACCACTATTTCTTTCCGAATTCATGTTAAAATTTAAAACAATTAAATATTATGAGAAAAACAAGCAAAATAATATAATAAAAGAGATAAAACAACTAAATTAATAAACAAATAACAATTAAAGTTAATAGTTGGAACGAATGTACCAAACGTCTACGTAAAAGTAGACGTATAACCAAAGCCGAATTTGATAGATGCCTATTGTAGCTTCCGAAATTCAAACTCCAACTCAATATCACAATATAATAATTAATAATTTATGAGAGATTTATAATTGAGAGTTTGAGACTTTGAGAGATTGTATAAGATTGTATAAGTATTGAATTTGTGATTTAAAATGGAAAAAAAGGTATATTTATAGTGTAAATGGGTTAGAGGGGGGGGGGGAGGGGGGGTTCATATTTGACCGTTTTGGGCCCCAGCCCAACGACTAGAAGGGCCCAACTGTCATATAAAACGGTAACCTTAAAAAAAATAATTAAAAAACCGGCTAAACCGGTTCTTATCGGATCGGACCGAACCGGAACCGGTTCTTACCGAACCGGTTCAACTGGATAAAAACCCAGGAACCGGTCCGGGAACCGGTCCTGTATACTAAAAGACCGGTTCCTTACTGGTTCAACCGGTACCGGACGGACCGGTACGGGAACCGGATTGGAACCGGACCGGACCGGCCAAAAACCGGTCCGTTTGCCAGCCTTATAACTTACCATGTATCATTTACCATGTATGACTAGAGTCTAAAGTATCACGGCACACCAATTTTAAGAGATTATTAGTAATAACTAAATTTGTCGGGACAGAGTGTAATTATTGAATTACACTATGAGATTCCTTAAATTTTTACAAAAGAAAATGAAGATTTTGAAGAACCTAAGGTTAGTATCATTGTGTTCAAAAAATTAATGTTATTATCATTAATAAAAATGATATAGTATTTGGTGTATAAAATTATGTAGAACATGATACATCACTGATTTTTTAACTGTGCTTATAAATTATTACGTATTCTATTTTATCACCAATTTATTTTGTTATACAATAGTGCATAAAATTAAATAGTAACATGGTGTATTGGTTCATACAATGGTGTATACATTTATTGGTATATTCTTCGAAATAGCTAAGTGTCCTTTTATGTTAAGTGGTTTATACAGTGATTTGTATATTTAAATGGTGTAGTTGTAATTGGTGTATACAGTGATTTATATATGTAATATGGTGCAAATAAGATACATTTATCTGTAATTTCATAGATTTTTTAAAATGTTGAGGTTTTGTTTGATGTCCACACAAGAGAAAAAGATGATGTTCAAATTCTCATCATAATGATACCATTAATGAAAATATGATGGTAGAAGCATGCTTTTTTTCTACTCATTGATCACCTACTACTATGTATATTTAAAAAATGATACTAGCTTTTTACATTTTAAATATGTCTTGTTTCTGAAAAGTTGAAGACATCCTTAAATGAGACAACAATATTCATTGACTTGGATGAGCAACCTCTTAGGGAGTCACAACTTGTTGCTCTAGAGGCTGAAGCAACACAAGTGACACCAATTGAACAAGTGCGTAAAAAGGCTCCTATGTTCAATCACCATAAACTAATATGATTGACTCTGATGGTACATTTGAAAATAGACCGGTCTATTTTTAATTAAACACCCTTTTGTTAAGGGAAATTATTTTTATGTCGATATAAACTTGATAAAAGCATACAAAAAGTGGTACAATGACAAATTATATGAGAAACACGGCAGGTCAGTACAATATTATGAATTTACAATTTTAAAATTTTTTTTTCAAATGAGTAATTTTTTTTCAGAAAGCCAATGTTTTTACCATAGAAAACAATGTCATCAAACCTCCAGTTGAGTTTGGAATTGAGAGAGGTTACTTGATGGATTGGTTTCACACTATGGTAACTGCATGAAAAGCTTGGTCAAACTCGGTAATTCGTTTATGCAGACAACTTACACTATTTATGAAAATTATTATGCAGTTTTGAGTCCTCGTTAAAGACGTAATTGTTACACATTAATACTATATCTTTTACGCCAAATAAATAAATGTAATCATGTAGTACTTCAGAAAAAAATGCAAGCATGGATCTGAAAGTCAAAAAAAAAAAGTTGCCACAACTGACTCTCATTTCATCCAATGGGTTGATCGAATACACAATGTCCTTGAAAAAATCAAGAAAAATAACAGCTTTATAATATCGGATCATGAAGTTTCTCAATACATTACATACTTTGTAATACACCATAGGATCAACTTGATTTCGTTTGCTTTCCTATCAATGTTTCTGAGAAATTTCACTGGATTATGGTTGTCTTCTCCATACACAGTAGGTGTCTTTATGGTATTTATACCTTGGATACCAAAATGTTTTTGTTACGTTTTATTGGTATTACTTGATTTCTGTGGTTGGTTAATTATTTTAATGCAATTTGATATCAAATAAATAAAATGTTGTGTATTAATGTTCTATCATTATACAAGTTAAAATTTAGGTACATAATTTTTGTCAATTCTTATACGTGTATGATTCATAGAAAACATCTTAGTAAGGGGCTAAAGATTATTTTACCATATATTAACCTTACTAAAAATTCAATATATACCATACAATATACAAATTAAGACACTATATAATATACCAATAATGACATAAAAATACAAACATCATATCATATTTTGCTCCAATGTTGTGCCATTTAATATACCACTTATTATTATGAGATATAGAACCAAATCAAGCATTACACCATACGATTATCATAAATACACCAAACTGGCAATATCATATTTGATGAAGCGAGTACAATCAATTATCTACCATAACTTTAATCCACATAACATATCACTATAATATATACCACAAAGTTCATCATCTATTATTAATAATAAAGATTTGGTCTATCTCAACGATGGTAAAAAGAAACACCATTCTATAACCAAACAAAATTCTCTGGAACAAAAGTGATTAATAAAACATCTAAAAATACCAAACAATTCCATAACAAACTTAGTGCTCCTGAGAATATTTGTGACAATTCTTCTTGTTTTGACCCTCTGTACCACATCTACTACAGGACACTTCAGATCTCTTAAATTTAGCCTGTTAAATCCGTTTTTACGATCGTAGCTTGGTGGTCTCCCTGGTAGCTTCCTTACATCAGGTGGTAACACTGTATCTTCCAATACATGCGATGGAATTTTCCAATTGCTTTTGCAAGGCAAACGCTCAATCTGTATTACATAAGTATCTTAAAATTTTAATTGATATAATATGACGAGCAAATGTCTTGAGCATGCTTATTTCTATGTCTTATAACAACAATAGCATGACTACATGGAATTTCATCGTGTTCAAATATGTCACAACTACACACTTTATGTAACATCTCGTATTCAAGACAAACTATGATTAAGATAAGAAAAACAAGAGGAATCAAATTTGGAAATAAGTAAGGAAATTAGGAAAATTTCTAGATTTCAAATGTGAGTTTTGGTCATTTTCAAACGGCCAGAACTTTCACCTC